GGTCAGGAAAGAGGTAGGGAAGCATGAGACGGCTCAGTGCAGCAGTGGCAGGGGAGGAGTAGCGCGCAACTACAGCGTCGTACAAGGTCCGAGCACTCTTGTACTGACTAAAGTGCGCACGCTCAGAGGTAGGGAGGTGGCGACGCACAGCAAGACGTGCAGCAGCATCGCGGGTGGCCCACTTAGAGCGGACAGCGGGACCAGCATCAGCAGCAGGAGCAGGAGAGGCGCCAGAGGTGAGGTCAAAGAGAGAAAGGTCATCAGCCCTGTCGCACTGTAAGAACAGCTGCAGGTCGTCTAGCCAGACCTCAAAATCAATGGCGCGACCCTCAGCGTCAAAAGCTAGGACACTAGGGGTAGCCATGACGACGACTGTGAAGCAGTGCAAGCAGTAGGGGGGAGAGCACGCAGTGACAGTGGGACTGTGCTCACCAGGCAGGGCAGGTCGCGCAGCTCGACAGAAAAGCTGAACGGCGACCGGGCGGCTCGGGTGTACAGCGGATCGGCTCCCGGGCGGCTCGACGGCAGGGCGGCTCGGGTGCAGGGCGGCTCGGCTCCCGGGCGGCTCGGCTGCAGGGCGGCTCGGGTGCAGGGCGGCTCGGCTCCCGGGCGGCTCGGCTGCAGGGCGGCTCGGGTCCCGGGCTGCTCGGCGACAGGCGGCTCGGGTCGCGTAGAAGTGAGACGGGGCGGGGCCGCGTCAGGGCCGGCGGTAGGGCCGCGTAGGAGCCGGGGCAGGGCCGCGAAGGAGCCGGGGCGGGGCCGTGATAGGAGCCGGGGCAGGGCCGAGTAGGAGGCCGGCGGTGGGGCCGCTTAAGGGGCCGGCTGCGGGGCCGAGTAGGAGCCAGCTGCGGGGCCGCGTGAGAGCCGGCGCGGGGCCGCGTAGGAGCCGGCGGCGTGGCCGCGTCAGGGCCGCGTAAGGGGGGGGGGCCGGCGCGGGGCCGCGTAAGAGCCGCGTAGGAGTCGGCGCGGAGCCGCGTAGGGGCCGGGGAGGGGCCGCGTAAGGAGCCGGCGCGGGGCCGCGTAGGAGCTGGCGGCGTGGCCGCGTAAGGGCCGCGTAAGGAGCAGGCGGCGGGGCCGCGTAAGGAGCAGGGCGGGGCCGCGACAGAGTGGGCGGCGAGGCCGCAGGGGAGAGGGCGACTCGAGGGGTCGCTAAAAAAAATCGCGCCTCGGGGGCGCGCTTCGGTGGGCCCAAAAAAAAAATTTCGGTCCTGGAGGGACCTAGCTCTATACCATGTGTAAATGAGTAAGCAGGAATGGGGTGAACTATGAATGAAAGCAGTACAAATATGAAACCCTAACTTGGTTGTACCCCCTATGGGATACCCCACTACAGCCTACACAGCAGTATAAGCTACAGATATGTTCTGACACGCACAGCTCCTTCACCTGCACGCGGAGAAACGAGCTGAGAGAGAAAATGAGAGCGCAAATACTCAGAGGAGAGACTAGAACGCATACGAAAGGGAGAGTCGTCGCTCAGTATGTTCGGTTAGACAATGAAAAAAAAAAACGCGTGAAGAGGGTGAAGGGGCCAGTAGTTCCTGAGTCTACCTATATAATCAAGTAACGCAGAGACGTAGGTGCACTGCCAAACGAGCAGAGCAGACACACACGCAGGGCAGTTACGATTGACTGGCAGATGGACTGCTAAAAAGAAAAGGCACGAAGAGGAGCGGGGTGGAGAATGAGTATGGGGCGGGAGTGTCTTGGGGTTGTGACTTTGAAAAGGGATGAGGGGGGCGAAGTCGAGCTTGCTGCGGGTAGAGAGAACAAAAAAGTAGACGAAAAAAACAGCTACTGTGCTAGGAACACTAGCTGCAAAGAGCATTCAAACTTCTAAAAAAATGCAAGCCAAATCCGGTCAGGAGATAACGAGAACCCCAAACGAAATTCACACACAAACCACCACTGCCACCAGCGCATCACCCGGACGAGTTGGATGAGGGAGTTTTGGTAAAGTGGCTGCCGTGGCAAGAAATGCGCTGGAGCACATGACACAGACGAAATTCATTCGCTAGAATTACCTCGACGGAATCGCGCTCAATTCCATATCTGCGTTGGCCACGTTGGTGCACCACACTGCACCCTGCGCGCCGCGTTTTTTTCCGAGGATAAATGCCAGCGCGACAAATGCGACAGTTCTTGCACAATTGCTGAGCTGTAGATAAAGAAGGCCATATTCTTCTTCCAACAAAGTCCCACTCGTTTACAGTGTTTCTTTGACAAACGCCAGAATCGCTTCGGTAAAAACTCCAACACAAGTAGTCACAAATAAGCACGAATTCGGGCAACAAGCAGCAAACAGCCGAGACAGTCCAGGGCAAATGACTGTTTGTGTCCGGATTCTCAAATATATATATGTATATATATTTATATATGTATGTAAGCCTTGGTAAACATAATTGCCATACATATGCAAACGTTGAATCTAATAATTGCTCATTAATATGCGTACATATATATAAGTGATCGTAGCTTTGCTTAGTTCCTTAGCGCTTGCACATTCACGGGAGAAATCCGCAAGAGTTTCACTAAGAAGCAATGACAAAAAAGACTACATCAGGCACCTATCAACTCTGGAGCTAGCCTGGTCGACCGCCAGCACAGCATGATCGATCGCCTGCCAGCGTTGCGTAGAGGAGCCGCGCCAGCACTGCATAAAGGCGGCCTGCCAATACAGCAGGTCGACGGCGTCTAACGCTGTAGTATAGCAGCTGTCCAGCGTTGCACCCGTAGATGGCAGCAGTGCACACGCTCACAGGTGCGCGCAAACGATTGGCCCGACTTGCACCGTTGTGCATCCGTCGGCTGTTGTGCTAACGAGATGAATCAGTTCCTATGGCTAGGGAATAGGATGTAGTAGAGAACTGTGTGAAGAAATAGTGGTAAAAAAGGCATTCAGACGTTGGCGAAGTGACATGTTGCCCACAGGCCTATCCTTGCACAGATTTAGGCGAGCAAACGCACAAACATGCATCACGAGCTGCGTAGTTGTGCTAACGAGATGAAATCAGTTCCTACGGCTAGGTAATAGGATGTATTAGAGAACTGTGTGAAGAAATAGTGGTAAAAAAAGTATCCAGACGTTGGCGCAGCGACATGTTGCGCACATGCCTATCCTTGCACAGATTTAGGCGAGCAAACGCACAAACATGCATCACGAGCTGCGTAGTTGTGCTAACGAGATGAAATCAGTTCCTATGGCTAGGTAATAGGATGTAGTAGAGAACAGTGTGAACAAATAGTGGTAAAGAAGGCATTCAGACGTTGGCGCAGTGACATTTTGCGGTCAGGCCTATCCTTGCACAGATTCAGGCCAGCAAACGCACAAACAAGCGCCACGTGCAACGTAGTTGTGTGAACGAGGTCAAAACAGTTCCTATGGCTAGGTAATAGGATGTAGTAGAGTACTGTGTGAAGAAATAGTGGTAAAAAAGGCATACAGACGTCGGCGCAGTGGCATGTTGCGCGCAGGCCTATCCTTGCACAGATTCAGGCCAGCAAACGCACAAACAAGCGCCACGTTCAACGTAGTTGTGCGAACGAGGTCAAACCAGTTCCTATGGCTAGGTAAAAGGATGTAGTAGAGTAGTGTGTGAAGAAATAGTGGTAAAAAAGGCATCCAGACGTCGGCGCAGTGGCATGTTGCGCGCAGGCCTATCCTTGCACAGATTCAGGCCAGCAAACGTCAAACAAGCGCCACGTGCTGCCTAGTTGTGCGAACGAGGTCAAACCAGTTCCTATGGCTAGGTAATAGGATGCAGTAGAGTATTGTATGACGAAATAGTGGTAAAAAAGGCATCCAAACGTCGGCATAGTGGCATGTTGCGCGCAGGCCTATCCTTGCACAGATTCAGGCCAGCAAACGCACAAACAAGCGCCACGTGCTGCCTAGTTTTGCGAACGAGGTCAAACCTGTTCCTATGGTTAGGTAATAGGATGTAGTAGAGTATTGTGTGAAGAAATAGTGGTAAAAAAGGCATCCAGACGTTGGCGCAGTGACATGTTGCGCACAGACCTATCCTAGCACAGATTCAGGCCAGCGAACGCACAAACATGCACCACGAGCCGCGTAGTTGTGCTAACGATATGAAATCAGTTCCTATGGCTATGTCATAGGATGTAGTAGAGAATTGTGTGAAGCAACAGGGGTAAAAAAGGCATCCAGACGTCGGCGCAGTGACATGTTGCGCACAGGCCTACCCTTGCACAGATTCAGGCCAGCAAACGCACAAACAAGCGCCACGTGCTGCGTAGTTGTGCGAACGAGGTCAAACCAGCTCCTATGGCTAGGTAATAGGATGTAGTAGAGTACTGTTTGAAGAAATTGTGGTAAAAAAGGCATCCAGACGTCGGCACAGTGACATGTTGCGCGCACGCCTATCCTTGCACAGATTCAGGCCAGCAAACGCACAAACAAGCGCCACGTGCTGCGTAGTTGTGCAAACGAGGTCAAACCAGTTCCAATGGCTAGGTAATAGGATGTAGTAGAGTACTGTGTGAAGAAATAGTGGTAAAAAAGGCATCTAGACGTAGGCGCAGTGACATGCTGCACACAGACCTATCCTTGCACAAATTCGGGCCAGCAAACGCACAAACATGCGCCACGTGCTGCGTAGTTGTGCTAACGAGATGAAACCAGTTCCTATGGCTAGGTAATAGTGTGAGAAAAAGCGAACAGGAATGAATGAACTAGCAGTGAAATGAGTACAAGTAGGAAACCCTAGAATTGTGTACCCCCTATAGGCTAACCCACTGTAGCCTACACAAGCATAACATATATAATGTTTGACACACCCCCATAGGCAAAGTGGGGGAGAACAAGGGGTCACAAGACCAGTCAAGCAAAGCAAAGCAAGCTCAGGGTGGATCACAAAGTCACCACACAGTCCGAGCACAAGAGCAGGGCCAGAGGCCAGTTCACATGCAGGAGTACAGACATATATATAAAACTAGACAAGCAAGAGCAGGTATATATATATGTCACAGTACAAGTGAAGTCAAGAGGAGAGCAAGTGAGGCAAGACAGGCACAAGACCCAGCTGGGTGCAAAAGCGCTGATGGTCACAAGGCGCGAGTGCCTTGGTGAACACATCAGCAGTGTTGGCCTCAGAGGCCACGTACGCAAGTCGCAACTGACCACGCTGCTGCAGCTCACGAGCAAGGAAGTAGCGGAGAGCAATGTGCTTCGTTCTGTGCTCCAAGCGCTGCTCTCGACACAAGGCCAGCATGGCCTTGTTGTCTACGTACAGCACTGGAGGAGAACGAGGCGGCTCTCCAAGGTCAGTCAGCAGGTAGGTGAGCCAGCGAAGCTCCTGTGCAGCCATGGCCCCGGCGTAGATCTCAGCCTCACAACTGGAGCCGAGAACCGAAGACGAGCGAGTAGACCGCCACGAGACAGAGCCGGAACCAAGGCTGAAGGTGTAACCCTGTGACGACCGCTGCGTAGCCTGGTCGTCAGCCCAAGAAGCGTCCGCGTGGCCGGTAAGGACCACTGGACTCCGCCCTCCAAGCACAAGCCCCATGCCCGACGTACTGCACAGGTAGCGCAATACCCTCTTCGCTGCAGCCATGTGCTCTAGTCGGTGTCTCCCAGGAGCAACATAGCGTGCAAGAATGCTCAGAGGATATGCAAGGTCAGGTCGTGTGCAGGTCATCAGGTACATGAGGCAGCCAACAAGCTCTGCATACGGACCACTCGACTCTACGGACTCATCCGAAGGCAGAGCTGAGAGTGAGTGGCGAGTAGGCAGAGGAGTGGCCTGAGGCGAGGAGTACGTGAAGCCGAAGCGCTGAAGGACCTGCTGCACCATGTGTGACTGAGTCAAGGTAATGGTGCGGCGTGCTCTGTCCCGAGTGATCTGCAAGCCAAGGTAGCTGCGCAGTTGACCCAGGTCTGTGCACGTGTGTCTCTTCTGCAGCTCAGACATCACGTAGGCGAGTCCAGCAGTGTCCGCTGTGGCAAAGACCAAGTCGTCGACGTACACGAGGATGTAGAACGGCGGCAGAGAAGTGTCGGTGCGCAGAAACAGCGACGGGTCAGCAGTAGAAGGAGCAAACCCAAGAGCCGCAAGCGTAGTCCTCAGTGTGTCGTGCCACTCACGAGGTGCCTGGCGGAGACCGTAGACTGGCCGTCGGAGGCTCCACTGGGTGCCAGGAGGGAAAGTCCCAGTGAAGCCAGGCGGACGGCGCAGCCAGATCTCCTCGTGCAGGCTACCCTGCAGGAACGCAGTGCTGAAGTCGAGAGAGTGAAGCTCGTAGTCGCGCTGAGCGGCTATGTGCAGCAGCACCCGAAGAGTGGTCATCTTCGGGGTGGGAGAGAAGGTCTGAAAGTAGTCAACTCCCTGCCGCTGACTGAAGCCACGAGCAACGTACCGCGCCTTGAAGACAGGTGGAGAGCCCGGCGGCCGCTTCACCCGGAAGATCCACATGCCACTGACGATGTTCGCCCCAGGAGGGGGAACTGCGTCAACGTAGGTGCCTGTGGACTTCCAGGAAGCCATCTCTGCATCCATAGCTGCCTGCCACTGAGAGGAGTAGGGACCCTCTACGGCCTCCGCGTAAGAACGCGGAGTCGGGATGTCTAGTGCATCCGGGTCTCCCTCAGGGGCAAGCAATACAGACGCGAGATGAGGTGAAGCAGCCGCTAGACACTGTAACTCCTCCTGTCTGTCCTCTAGGACGTCCGTGCCAAGAGCACACTCACCCCCGACGGACGGAGGACAGACAGACTCAGACTCAGCAACAAGACCAGCAGCGTAGTCGAGACGACAGCGAGCAGCAAAGTCAACGAGCTCAGCGACTAGAGCAGACGCAGCAGTGGACTCAAAAGAGGGGTCAGTGACGAGAGTAGCAAGCAGACGCGTGACAGTAGGACTGGCAGCGCGAAGAGAGTCCGACTCAGGGTCGGCAAGCGCAGGAAGAGAGGACTCAGGAGGCGAAGGCAAAGGGGCACGCAGAGGAGCAGTGGACGGACGCAGAGACATCCGGTGCGTGCCAGGGACAGGAGGAGGACGCTGACGCGAACCGCGACCACTAGCGCGAGCAGCACGAACAGGCGACGCGGGACGAGACGCAGGCTCACGACGCTCAGCAAGACCTCCAGTAGGACCAGTGTAAGGAGAGGGAGCAGGCAGAGGAGAGGAAGGCTCCAACAGTGACTGCGACTGGACAGGCTGTGGACACTCTACCGAAGGAGAAAGACCAAGAACCTGCTGTAGGAGCGGAACGAAGTACGGCCGAGGCCGCGCGGCAGCTCCAGACTCAGCAGGGACAGCACCAGCACCCTCAGCGACAGCACCAGCGCCACCCACACCTCCAGCGGCAGGACCAATAGCAGTAGGCTCAGCACCAACGCCCTCAGCACCTCCATCTCCAGGAGGACCCGCAGGTCCAGCAGCTCCGGGACCGGCAGCACCCGCACCCTCGACGGTCGAAGAAGCTCCAGCTCCAGCTCCAGCAGCACCTCCAGACTCAGCAGCACGCCTCCAGCGGCGAGCGTACCACTCGCGCAGCTCCTATGGAGAGAGGGGCTCCCGGCGAGACGCAGCAGCAGGAGAAACCCCAGGCTCAGCAGCTCCAGACGCAGCAGGGACAGCACCAGCGCCCTCAGAGACAGTACCAGCGCCACCCACACCTCCAGCGGCAGGACCAACAGCAGCAGGCTCAGCACCAACGCCCTCAGCAGCTCCAGCTCCAGGAGGACCCGCAGGTCCAGTAGCTCCGGGACCGGCAGCACCCGCACCCTCGACGGTCGAAGAAGCTCCAGCTCCAGCTCCAGCAGCACCTCCAGACTCAGCAGCACGCCTCCAGACTCAGCACCCGCAGCAGCACCAGAGTCACCTGTAACCTCGACCGGGTCAACGGCGTCTACCTGGGACACACCTGAGGGGGCAGGAACCTGAGGGGGGAGGGGGTCTACCGGGGGGGGAACCGGTACAAGGAAGTCCGGGGCAGGGGGGAGGGAAGGAGTGCGGTAGGGGAAGAGACGGTAGAAGGGGACTGACTCGTCGAACGTGACGTCCTGGGAGGACAGAACACGACGAGAGGAGGGGTGGTAAAACTGCCACCCTGGGGCGTCAGTGGGGAAGCCAAGGAAGACACAGGGAGCAGCACGAGGGGACAGCTTGTCCGCAGACAAGTCGCGGACAAACGCCCGAGATCCCCAGACACGGAACACAGACGCATCGCCAACCTTCCCTGTCCACAGCAAGGCTGGGGACATCGCAGGCCGAGAGACCCGGGGGTGAAGGTTGAGCTGATGCGCCGCGTACCTCACCGCAAACGGCCACAGAAAATGGGGGGCAGCCGCATGCATCATGGACGTACGAGCGACATCCATGACCATGCCAATGCGGCGCTCAGCAATCCCATTTTGCTGTGGTGAGTCCGGAAGCGTGAAGGACTGGCGGATGCCTCGCGCACGACAGTAGGCACGCAGAAGGCCAGAGGAGAACTCTCCGCCTCTGTCCGAGTGCAGACGCAGAACAGGAAAGTCCGAGCCGAAGCTCTTCCTGAGCCGGAGACGAGCCTCGCGGATCCAGTCGATCAGCACCTCAGTGACCTCACCCTTGCTGCGCAAGGGGAGGACTGTGGTGTAACGCGAGTAGTCGTCAACCACCAACAGGAAGTAGCGCTCGTAATCCTGCCCACGGACGGGGGCTGGGCCCCACACATCCATGTGAAGCGTGTGCAGGGGAGCCTCTGTCGGGGGGAAGTGGGAGGAGTGAGGAGTAGCCCGGAGGCGACCCTCGACACAGGGGACACAGGAAGGTCCTGGCCCGGAGGGGAGAGGAGGGAGAGACTGGGGAAGACCAGAGACAAGGACACGGGAAGCCATGCTCCGAAGACGGGGCAAGGAGGGGTGGCCAAGACGGTGGTGCCACAGGAGAGTCTCGTGAGACAGGAGGCGACAAGTACAGGGGGCAGACTCAGGACCAGACCTGGACGCAGCAGCAAACACCTGACCCGACGCTGCTACCTGACCGGACACGGGGACAGGAGGAGACTCAGTGGTCAGGGTGTAGAGGCTCGACCCCGGCCGACGCGAGAACGTGGCCAGGTGCCGGCCTGTGCGTGCGTCCGTGCAGTGGGTCACCCGCTGACTCGCAGGAGTGAACTGGTGAACCCCCGCATCCTGTAGGTCTGCACCACTCACCAAGTTCGTCGAGAACGAGGGGAGGTACAGGCCAGGCAGGGTGCCCGAGGGGGCAGCCGGACACGGGAGGACAGTGGAGAAGTGAGCGAGGACAGGACCCCCAGAGGGGTCAGCCAGGGAGACTGCAACCGGCCGACCAAGCGGCGTGAGTGTGGTGCGGTCCCGAAAGAAGGAGCGAGAAGCCCCAGAGTCAAGTGTAAAGGTGAGGGAGGCCGAAGCCAACGCGGTACCTGAGAGCGCAGCCTCACCCGCACCTGAGGAAGCAGACTCACTAGCACCTAGAGCAGCAGCCGCACCTGTACCTGGAGCAGGAGACTCACTAGCACCCAGAGCAGCAGCCTCACCAGTAGCTAGAGCAGCAGGTCCTATACCTGGGTCAGGCGGGACGCACAGGTGACCTGCACGGTCAGCACTAGTAGGCAATGCATACATGGCAGTGAGAATAGCATCATAGTCAAGAGCATATATATCTACCCTCTGCCTAAGCAACTCCACCCAGTCGGGAAGCTCAGCCTCGTCGCCAAACACGGTACGCCAGGCGTCGCTCAGACGGGCGAAGCAGCGGGACGGTGTATGACTACGTGTCCCACAAGGCTGACCAGTCCGAGTACCAGTGCGAATCACGTAAGAGCAGCGAACAGCACTGAGAGACCCTCCACTCTGAGCGTACCACTCACGAAGCTGGCGAGGCGTGAGAGACACGCGAGAGGGTCGCGGGAGCTGCATCTGGCCGCCACCACGAGTAGAAGCAGCAGGAGTGGTAGTAGGAGTAGCGTCGCCACCCCTACAGCCCCAACCAGCGTACCACTCACGCAGCTGCTGCGGCGTGAGGGACTCACGCCGGCGTCGCTGGGGCTGCATTTGGCTCCGCAAGTAGAAGCAGGAGCAGGACTAGCAGCAGGGAGGCAGGCAGCCAGGCAAGCCAAAAGGCAGGCAGGCAGGCAAGCAGGCGACGCGCAGCGTGCTAGCAGGGCAAGAGCTCACCAGTGGTGGGAAGAGTAGGTTCGGCGACTCAGCGGCTCGGCAGCTCGGCGGCTCGGCGGCTCGGGCGACTCGGGCGGCTCGGCGGCAAGGCGGCTCAGCAGCAACTGCAGCTCAGTAGCTCGGTGACTCGGCGGCTCGGCGGCAGGGCGGCTCGGCAGCAACTGCAGCTCAGCAGCTCAGCGACCCGGCGGCTCGGCGGCAGGGCGGCTCGGCTGTGGGGCGGCTCGGCTGCTGCAGTGGGAGATGAAGGAGGAGGAGAAGCAGGGGAGGCCACACACCTGCCACCCCTCTGCTGCGGCCCCCGAAGGAGCCGCGACGGGCGACGGGAAAAGGGGGGGTGGGTGGTGGGGGGGGCGGTAGGTGCAGCGGCGGGGCCAGCAGGTGCAGTTGCGGGGCCGGTAGAAGGGGACGGCAGGAGCCGTCAGGAGGGGACGGCGGGGCCGTCAGGAAGGGACGGCGGGGCCGTCACGAAGGGACGGCGGGGCCGTCAGGAGGTGACCGGGCCGCGACGGGGGCAGGCGGCGGGGCCGCGTAAGGGCCTGGGCGGGGCCGCGACAGAGCCGTCGGCGGGGCCGCGTGAAAGCCGGGGCGGGGCCGCGTAGAAGCCGGGGCGGGGCCGCGCGAGAGCAGGCGGCGGGGCCGCGAAGGAGCCGGGGCGGGGCCGCGTGAGAGCAGGCGGCGGAGCCGCGTAAGGGCCTGGGCGGGGCCGCGACAAAGCCGTCGGCGGGGCCGCGTGAAAGCCGGGGCGGGGCCGCGTAGAAGCCGGGGCGGGGCCGCGCGAGAGCAGGCGGCGGGGCCGCGAAGGAGCCGGGGCGGGGCCGCGTGAGAGCAGGCGGCGGGGCCGCGACAGAGAGGGCGGCGGGGCCGCGTCAGTGAAGGCGGCGGGGCCGCAGGGGAAATGGCGACCCGAGGGGTCGCTAAAAAAAAAAAGATCGCGCCTCGGGGGGCGCTTCGGTGGGCCCAAAAAAAAACGGTCCGTAGAAGGACCCGCTCTATACCATGTGAGAATAAGCGAATAGGAATGAATGAACTAGCAGTGAAATGAGTACAAGTAGGAAACCCTAGAATTGTGTACCCCCTATAGGCTAACCCACTGTAGCCTACACAAGCATAACATATATAATGTTTGACAAATAGGATGTAGTAGAGTACTGTGTGAAGAAATAGTAGTAAAAAAGGCATCCAGACGTAGGCGCAGTGACATGCTGCGCACAGACCTATCCTTGCACAAATTCGGGCTAGCAAACGCACAAACATGCGCCACGTGCTGCGTAGTTGTGTGAACGAGGTCAAACCAGTTCCTATGGCTAGGTAATAGGATGTAGTAGGGAACTGTATGAAGAAATAGTGGTAACAAAGACATCCAGACGTTGGCGCAGTGACATGCTGCGCACAGGCCTATCCCTGCACAGATTCAGGCTAGCGAACGCACAAACATGCGCCACGTGCTGCGTAGTTGTGCGAACGAGGTCAAACCAGTTCTTATGGCTAGGTAATAGAATGTAGTAGAGAATTGTGTGAAAAAATAGTGGTAACAAAGGCATCCAGATGTTGGGGCAGTGACATGTTGCGCACAGATCTATCCTAGCACATATTCAGGCCAGCGAACGCACAAACATGTGCCACGTGATGCGTAGTTGTGCTAACGAGGTCAAACCAGTTCCTATGGCTAGGTAATAGAATGTAGTAGAGAACTGTGTGAAGAAATGGTGGTAACAAAGGCGTCCAGACGTTGGCGCAGTGACATGTTGCGCACAGATCTATCCTAGCACAGATTCAGGCCAGCGAACGCACAAACATGCAACACGTTAAAAAGCGTGCAAGGCCATGCCTTAGCATTAAATGGTGCCGTTTATGCGTAGTTGTTTTTTGCATGAATCTTCATGATTATCTAACGAGTCACCACATTCAAAGTGTATGAAAGCTGGTTATTAATTTTGAGAAATATATAATAGGGTTCAATTGGTTCAATTTGACATGTACATCATTCATAAGAATCATATAGACGCTTTGGATTACTTATGTATATTGGTAGATGATAGTTTTTGAAACCTCTAAGAACAACAACATACTCTGAATCAACAACACTAGACAACAAATTGTCTTATTAACAAAATACATCTAGAAATAGTTGCTGGAAACATGTAGCTACTATATTCTTAGAGGGGTTTCGAATCTCAGAGAAACACACCCGAAACCATTCATCGGGCGAAACGGGCGATGCAAACACTGGAAATGCAAACGAAACAAAATGATTTCGCTCAGTGCAGCTCTCTCGTAGCTATGAATCTGCATCCAATCACAAGCGTTCACGCAATCTCACGTTCTCATCATTCCGCCAATTCCCGAAGCGCCCATGCTCAAAGCAGCTGTGAGGTAGGTAGTCAGTAGCTTTCAGTCGAGCAGCTTCGAAGCACGTGAAACTAAACCTACCCCTCAACCATCCCTGTTTTTGCGATGCTGTAGTGGGAGGGATTGGACGAAATGATCATCCGATGGGCAATTATTAGGCAAGCGACAACTGTTCCGAAGTTTTGAAGGAAGGGGAGGAAACGAGGGAGCCTTTTCAAAGGATTAGTACGGAAAGGGGAGCTGTGGGGATCCTGGGGTAGCAGTTGACGGCAGCTGAGGGGATGTAGAGGTGGAGCCATTGGGAGTCGACCTTTTTGACGTTCAAAAGTCGTCTGCTTCAGAACCGTGTCAACAGTTGACTCAGCATTAGGGCACGAAGGAACCATTGGGAATCAACTGTAATGATGGTGCCAGGGAAGAAGAAGGGGAGGGGGTGAGTTGACGAGGCAAGGGTTCCTGGTGGGCCAAGGCAAGGGTTTCGCATGGGGTATGGTGGAGGTGCAGACGAGCAGCCTTTCATGTCGAGATGAACAGTGCAATGACCAGTGCTGTCAGCAAGCACTTCAGGCAATAATATACGGGCAGATGAATTTCCCTATTCAGATGCCCTGCCTGTACTTCGGGTGAAGGCTTTGGCCGAAGCTGGGAAGATTGGGAAGATGGAAAGACAGAGGGATGGGCTGGAGGAGATGGGCTGGAGGAGATGGGCTGTTGAAAGGGGATGCCTTTGGCCATATCTGCAGGCTAGCAGTTGGCGTAGCAGTTGCAGAACGGCAGAAGTGGGTCGCGATATATGCTTGCCACTCGCAAAATGCCTCAACAGACAGGCAGGTGAACTCTAAAAAGACTTTTGAGTCAGCCGGCTTCTCAAAACCAGCAGGGAATATGGAGAGTGAAGCGACATTTAAGAGACATGCGAAGCAGCTCATGAGGCTCCTGGAACACTGCCGCACTGCCATTGGCAACCACCAGTCAAGCGCCTCTCTCCAATCAGCCTATCCCGTGTGGCTGCTTCCGTTGATGCGTCAGCAGCTGTTCCTTCTGCTGATAGGCCACTGGCAGCAGCTGTAGAGAGACCTTTGACTGCTGCAGGTATCGTTCTCGAAATGCCCCCCACTATGGCCCACTCAGTGTGAGCCTCCCACGTCCACTGGTTAGTTTCCCCTTCGCCTGTCAACACACGCCACTGTCCGAAGCCCATGCATTCCCGATGCTGCCTGCAAGAAACGAGTTGGAACCTCCTCCTGTCGCACCTCCCCATATCACACCTCCCATTATCACCCCTCCCCTCACACCTCCTGCTATCTCACCTCCCGCTATCGCACCTCCGCTTATCACATCAACACTATCCATCCCAGACTTCTGCCATCCGTGGAACAGCAGTGGCGGGTACAGCAGAGGCAACAGCAGCAGGTACTTTCCACCCGTTTGGTCTTCCAGACTCGGATGCGCCACAACCACCTACCGGGATACCATTCTAATACCATCACCATCCACTGGCATGTGACATGTCACATGTCCTGCCTTACACTCATGGCACACAGCAGACCATACGGGAGACTATACCGCAGCAACACATGGGCCAGGGACCCGTGGTGATGGGCGAGCAGCAGACGCCACTGCAGCACTCCATCGGCCAGGGATGTGATATGCACACAGCTCTTCCCCCCTGTGCGCCAGGGGCCTCTGCATGTCAACACCCCCTGTGGCACAGGAACCTTTGCGTTCCACACCCTCCAATCCGTTTGAGTCCAGCCTTGCTCCTTTTCCCCACGATTACACCCCGCTAACCCGTTTGACTCGTCCCATCCGCCCAATATGCCCGTTTCTGATCCAACGGTAACCATACTCCTCGCCAGCTGTGCCCATTCAGCTGGGTCTGCCCTTTCTTCCACTTTTGCCCCTTCTGTTAGACGTGCCCTTTCTCCCCTGTGCACTGGTACCATCCATCCTCAGCAGCATGATAGGCCGTTGGCAGCAGCAGCAATGGCAGAAGCAAGGTCAGCAAGTGTAGTGGCAATGACTGCAGCAGCATCGACTCCCATGAGTGGTGGGTCCTTTTTTTCCCACCACAATGGGAAGGGGCAGGCACAGCAGCAAGCGCCACGCCCTCTGCAGCTGTAGCGTGGCAGTGGACAGCAGTTGGGGCACCAGAAGGATTAGTGGATTGGTAGGGAGCAGAGTGGTGGCAGAAGAAGGGAGAGAGGGGGTCGATGAGAGAGTGGGACCAAGGGAGGCGAGGGTGTGAGCAGAGGCGGCGAGAAGGGTTGCGCCGGGAAGGGTAAATCCTGCTCGGTTCCACAGGGTGGTGAGTTCAGGCGCTGCCCAGATGACCACATTCAGTACCGCTATGCCCACAGGAGCTCGCGTGGCCTCCCCGGTAACCCTTAGTGGGAGTGATGGCCACGGGAGGAATAATGGTGCTGCTGGTGGGGACTCGGGAGGGTATGATTGGTGTGAGTGGTGTGGCTGGTGGCAGCAGTTACGGAAAGGTGGTGTTGAAGATGCAGGCGCAGAGGCAGCAG